AGGATACTGGGTACAGGATACTGGAACATCTTCTTGAATAAGCAATCAAATAAGTACTTATGGAACATATTCTCAAATAAACACTTCTTGGACATATCTCGAAAATTATGAATGAATTTTGATTGTCAATTGAAACATTAATCAATCTAATATTATTTAGAATGCAGAAAATAAGTTAAACTAACTTCATTTTGACGAGAATTTTTTTTTTATTTTCATGAAAAATTTGCTGAAATGAGTGAAAATTTAAAAAAAACGGTGTATTTTCCAGGATAAAATCCGTACAATCCGTACAATTCGTACATTTTGGCCACCCTGAAATTTCGTAAAATTTGGAAAATCCACGAAAAAAAATATGTAAATCTGCAAATTTGTTACTATTGTTTTTCGATGAGAAAATGTTCTATTGGGAAAATTGAACATTTAAAAGTTGAAATTGCTAGTCTAATTTTGTAATTTTGATCGATATTATAATTCTTTGCATTCATTAAAATACAGTTAAATTTATGACAGGAAATCATCGAGGAGAAAAACATCATAAAGGTCAACACCATGGACAGCATCATCACCGGGGTCTACATCATGATGCACATCATGGACAATTTCATCATGATGGACAGCACCATGGAGAATATCATCATGAAGGAGAACATCCTGGCTCCCATACTCATCATAACGGAGAACTTGAATATTTACATTTCTACGGTTAAGCTTGAATCCGAGCCTGGGCAAAAATTATAAAGATTTAGATTTGTATCGAGATTAAATTGTTGATTTCAATTTGGAATTTCTCTCTAAAGCGACTAGCTGATTCTTGGGTAGCAGAAACAAATTAACAAACATTAGACTTTAGTTTGTGGGTGCCAACAGCCCAGTGTGCCTTGGGCGAGGGAGGCAACCCCCGGACGCCATGAGCCTCCGCTATGCAGACACGAGTCTCCCAGAGTTGCTAGGCAGACCAAGCCTCCGCTTTGCAGAAATGCGCATGCGCAACACATCAAAATGTGCCTGTGTAATACGGGAGGTTTTTTTAAATATTGTGTTTTAAGTTTAAATAAATTTTTTTATTTTATTTTTAGCCATAGTGGCATGAGATGCTTCTCAATAATGAGAAGTATTTATTAATTATCATAAATAGTGCCTAATTATGACTAATAAAGTGGTATCTAAAACTTTAAACATTTTTTACACGAAAAGGAAAATATTTAAAAAAAAATTTGAATTGAATATCATTTTATCTTTTATAATCTTTGATTTTCGCGATACCTTTTTTTGAAGGCACGATCTGCATAGCGTAGGCTTTGTCTGCATAGTGGAGGCTTGGTCTGCCTCGCAAATCTGGGAGGCTCGATGTCTGCATAGCAGAGGCTCATGGCGTCCGGGGGTTCCCTCCCTACTTGGGCATGGTTGTTCAGTGGATTCAAAATGTGAACTTGACGCCTTATTTTATTCATTTTGAAACATATGTCCTAAACTTGACCAAAGTAAGAAAACTTTTTTAGTATTGCCATACCTTAGTTTTTCAGTTTTGTAGGATGACCGTCGTTTCGTGAAAATAAGTAACAAACATACAATCATATAACTATAAGTAACAAACATACAATCATAAAACTCTACTTCATACAATAGATTATATCGCCTTTTCACCAAAATTACCGACCTTTGATTCCCCCAACAGACTTAACATCGTTTGGGACAGTTACAGGGTGTCCCACGAAACATGACAGTTGATGAATAGTTTTGAATGTCTTCTTCCGCATACGTAACCAGACATTAAAGACTTCTTGCCGTTTATTTCTTTAAAAATATGTTTCTCATATATATTCTAATGTGAAATCAATTTTACTTTGATATAGCTGTCATAAATAAATGTTATTGGTCTCTTATCAAATTTTGGAAGAAGATATTTTAAACTATTCACCAATTGCCAAATTATGTGGGACACTCTGTATGTCAAATAACCACATGCTCTTCGGGGAAAAATTCGCGCATTTTAATCTCAAAAGATGACAAAATTGTGTACAGCTACTTTTTCGCGAAATAAAATTTTTTATTTAACCACGGGTTCCCACGACGAATTTTGACTAAAAACATCCCTTACTGCGCTCTGGATGTTTTGTAGTCAAAATTAGTCTTGGGAACCCTTGGTAAAGTAAAATTCCCTTGAATTCCCAGGACGTAGGATAACAGAGTTCCCATATAAAATTGTTTATTATCTAAATGTTAGAAAATTTTAAAATATATATTATAATATTGAATAAAAATAAATATTTGCACGATATGATTCAGATAATTGAATCTCAAATTCGTAAGACTAGAATCATTGCATTTAAGTTTCATGTGCACTTGTGATCTTGAATTCTAAATGCAGTGTTAAGACTCCTCAAACTGAAAACACTAATATGACAAAAAGATTATTTACTAAAAACTTCTCTCATCCCTTTAAAGTTGGGCAGTGGCTTGAATTTTTGTTTGTTTAATTATCTATTCTAATTTTCTAGAGCCATTTTACAGCATAAACAAGAATCTATAAACTGATTTTAAAGATTTCTAAAAACGAACAATTACCAGCCTAACTTAAGATGAATTTCTATAATTGTCAAGTTGAGAAAGACAACTATATTTACCTAAAATATATTAAAAGTTTTATTTAATTGCATATATTGCATAGAACAGGAAAACTATTATGTATTAAATACTTCTTCAGACAACTATCACGAGGAATACAAAGCACTTTGGTTCAAGTCTATTTCTAGATTATTCTAGAACAAGATTATAAATAGAATAATCGGTAATCTCATTCTCACATTCTCCTGCCTTGGTTAGCCGGTGGACCGCCATGTTGGTCATACCACGATAATGCACGAATGCCGCGGCTATCACCAAAACATGAAATATTTGATGACTCTGGAACCTGAAAAAATCGATCGATAAACAACCTTATGTTAAAATAATATTTTACGGAATATGGAATTAATGGTTGTTCAGTGTTTACTCATTTAAGATTATAATAGATAAATAACACAAGGTGAGTTATTATTACTTTACTGTACACTGCACATCGGAATTTTTTGTGCTAAACATCGACTTAGGGGACATATTAGAACAAACAAAAAAGTTTTAAAGTGAACAAAATGTATTAAACTCATTCTAATTTTAGCCCATGAGAGATAAATAAATGAAATCAACTGATTAAAGTTGCAGGTTGAGGTAAAGAAATTACAATTCATCTTATAACATACCACGTATTTAGAATATCGTTAAGTACTAAAAAATTAGTAATTAAATGAATAATTATTTAAAGATATTCAGTTTAAAATAAATTACCATAAATCAAATTTGCCCGGTAGAAAACGTTCTGGAATTCTAGCACCATAGAGCAGAGCACCAGTTATATATAGGAAAGCCATGAGCAGGAGCCAAGGAATACCACCGCTCACCTACAGACAAATCTTACTAACAGCTTAAGATTAAGATAACATGGTAAACTTTTCTGAAGGACATGAACAGATCTACAGAGTAAACCACACAGGATGAGACTTCAGAGACGACTGCACAGAATTTATTCCATCTCTTTCCTTATATTTATTATTCTCTGTAATCATAAACTTGTTCCTTTTTTGCCTAATCATTGAATACGCCAAAAGATTGTATCCAAGGTGGAAGACTTAATTTAACCTTGGAATCGTCAGATTTTAAGAGTTATAGGTCGTCTTTACAGTCTCATCATTTGTGGGTAACCCTGTATTTGAATAGACTGAAGTCCTAAAATCCTAGTTTGAGTTTAGCCAATCTTTCATTGGTAAAAACTATAGAGAATAGAATATATATTAGAGAGGAATTTAAAGTGTACAAATCATGTAAATGTTCACAAATTATATGCAGTAGAGTACATTAATACAGTATTTTCCCTAGACTATTCATTTCAATTTCGAATTTTTTAAACTGTTAAATAAACTTAATAATGAATTAGGTGAATAAAAAAAATCATTTGATTTATAGTTATAACGGAAAATCATCGTTTGTAAAGTGGAAGGCTCTAGTCTATGTGAAATGATCATTGGTCAATTATGAAACCAGCCTATTTCATAATTTGGGTTTCTTTTAACAATAATTTTAGATTTTCTATGAAATGATATTCCAGGGCCCAAAAGGTTATAAATATAATATATATTCTATTCTCTATGGTAAAAACTAAATGTTGTAAAAAGTCGCGAGGAGATGATGACACTAACTCATTAATAACGGTAATAAGTTAACTTTTTAATAAAACCAGTGAAACACAGTAAATATTCATCAAAATGTTTTTAATTAATTAGATCGTTTGAATATGGTTTCGCCTCCAATATGTTAGAAAAAATATGCTGAATATTAACTTTTAGAAAAAATAACAATTTAAAATCTTTATAAACATTAAAGTTAGTTCAGAATTTTGAATTGGTGTTTCTTTTAAAACTATCTTGATTAAAAAATGATATACCAGAGCACCACTCCACCCGTTCTGTATAAATAAATGAACAGTTGGAACCAATCCAAACCCACCCAGGCATACAAACAGTACAGCTCGTAGGGGCCTGTAGTCGCTAGTATTAAACCTAAACAATCAATCAATCAATAAACCAATCTTAGCTTAGCCCCCATCATCACTGGGTAAGTGAAAACTATGATTTCGGGGGGAAGGGGGGGGGTCAGGCCCCAGATGGTTCTGATTGCTTAATTCCTGTATAAGCCCCTGTACATAAGATATTAAAAATACTTACCTATCCATCATAGTAACTGTAATAGCTCCGATCCCAAGAACAGATATTACAGTCAAGTAAACAACTTTAGCAGTGAACTGAAATATGGATACATTAAATTTACGTGAACATTAGTTTAATTTCTTTAAAATATAATATTTTGTCACAAATAATTGGAAGGTTCTGAAGATGTTTTTGTTTCAGATAAATCTTTTGAAAACATTTCTTAAAAACTTGGAAACTTTGAAAGCATCAACTTGACAATCTCAATATGAGCTCATTACAGTATTTACTATTTACCATAAAGCTCTCTTCTTAAGATTTGGAATAACCTGCTTCTTGACTTAAAAAGAAGCAACCCTCTAAGTATATTTAAAATAGACTACTAAATTCTCTTTTTGAAAATTACATTACAAAGTGTTATAAACCGAATTGCTATTCATGTAAAACTAATCCAGTACGTTTTAATATGCTTTGATATTTGTTGTGGTACATATCAGAAAATTGCTTAAGACTCTAGTTATTCTAACAAATGTATAAACTATTTTGCATAAGATAAAATTGCACCCTGATCTCAAATAGTTCTAAAGTTTTTTTGATGTTTTTTGAGCAAAAAACAAACAAATTTAAAACAAAGACAACATTTTTTCTTCTTTCGTTTAAATAGAAAAATGTGTTAGTTGTTAAGCAATGCCAACAACTAATATAATGCTACAGAATACTACTTGCACATTTTTTTCAAAATCCAAGAATCTGAATTCAAGATTTTATGATTCGGTTTCAATATTATAGCTCTTTCGAAAACAAGAATAAATAATAATAATAATAATAATAATTATGATAATGATAATAAAAAATACTACTAACCTGACAATAGAACCCATAGTATATCCAGGGTATAAATGAACCTACAGTGAGCAGCGCTATACCAGCATAATCCAATTTACTAAACCAACAAACAAACTTCACACCACAAAAAAAAGGCGAGTATTAAGTTTTTTAATTTCTGAATAGAGTTTGTGTTTGTCTGAATGCGAGTGTGTGTTTATCAGAATGTGAGAGTGTGTGTTTGAATGAATATAAGTGTGTGTTTGAATGAATATAAGTGTGTGTTTGAATGAATATAAGAGTGTGTTTGTGTGAATATAAGTGTGCATTTTGTCTGATTATAAGTGTGTGTTTGTCTGAATATGATGTGTGTGTCTGTCTGAATATGATGTGTGTGTGTTTGTCTGAATATGATGTGTGTGTTTGTCTGAATATGATGTGTGTGTGTTTGTCTGATTATGAGTGGGTGTTTGTCTGAATATGATGTGTGTTTTTGTCTGAATATAATGTGTCTTTGTCTGAGTATGAGTGTGTGTCTGTCTGAATATAAGTGTGTGTCTGTCTGAATATAAGTGTGTGTTTGTCTGAATATGAGTGTTTGTTTGTCTAAATATGTGTGTGTTTGTCTGAATAAGATGTGTGTGTTTGTCTGAATATGTGTGGTGTCTGTCTGAATATGATGTGTGTGTCTGTCTGAATATGATGTGTGTCTGTCTGAATATGATGTGTGTGTCTGTCTGAATATGATTGGGTGTTTGTCTGAATATGTGTGTGTTTGTCTGAATATAAGTGTGTGTTTGTCTGAATATGAGTGTGTGTTTGTCTGAATATGAGTGTATGTTTGTCTGAATATGTGTGTGTTTGTCTGAATATGATGTGCGTGTTTTTCTGAATATAAGTGTGTGTTTGTCTGAATATGAGTGTGTTTGTCTGAATATGTGTGTGATTGTCTGAATATGATGTGTGTGTCTGTCTGAATATAAGTTGGTGTCTGTCTGAATATGATGTGTGTGTCTGTCTGAATATGATGTGTGTGTCTGTCTGAATATGAGTGGGTGTTTGTCTGAATATGTGTGTGTTTGTCTGAATATGATGTGTGTGTTTGTCTGAATATAAGTGTGTGTTTGTCTGAATATGAGTGTGTGTTTGTCTGAATAGTGGGTGTTTGTCTGAATATGTGTGTGTTTGTCTGAATATGATGTGTGTGTTTGTCTGAATATAAGTGTGTGTTTGTCTGAATATGAGTGTGTGTTTGTCTGAATATGATGTGTGTGTTTGTCTAAGTACAAGTGTGTTTGTCTGAATATGATGTGTGTGTTTGTCTGAATATAAGTGTGTACTGTGTGTTTGTCTGAATATGAGTGTGTGTTTGTCTGAATATGAGTGTGGGTGTTTGTATAGTTCCTGAATATATTGTTAACCCACTCTGAATGACAGCAGACAGTATGGAAGAGAGAGCTGAGTCCCAGGCAGAGGATTGCAGAGATAAAGAAGAACAAGAAGATTAACTTCTCTCGTAACTTCAAATATAACGTTGTTAAAGGAACTACAGACATGATTTCAGGTGATCTACTTTTTACAGAGGATCATGCCTGATTCTCAACAGTAGCCTCTAAACTTTTATTTGAGCAACAATGGAGAATGTTTTGTCGTCTGTTTATTTCTGAAAATTTCCCTTTTTTGTTACTCCTTGCATATATACGCACGTTACTTTTAACGTGAATTCATCACAAAAAATAATTATCTTTAAGATTGAAAAAGAAAGATATCTCTATCGTCCTCCGTCAGACAAGGTTTCATATTAGGTCCTGTTTCCATCTAACAACGGGGACCAAGGTCACTTAAAATTACGACTATAGTCCCTTTAACTTGATCAAGGTTAAAATAAATAAGCTAATTATAAATTAAATTATATTTGAAAACAGTTTAATGTTGCTGAAGTAGGATTTACTGGAGAAAATAATTGAACTAGGACCTGGGTTCGGATAGTTCCACAACTTATCAAGTATTGTCGGGTCGTGTTTAGTTCAACTCGCTATTTTTTATATCCGACCTCTGAAGATAAAACCAATTTCACAGGTAGAAATATAAGGGCCTTATTTTAGTTGAGTTTAGATATAACGTAATGAAATAAATTTTGGAAAGGTCTAAATCCAAATCACAAAAAGTCATTTTAACTGTCATTATTAATGTCATTAATTTAGTTGAGAGTAATTTTCACCCGGGGGAACGGGGGGGGGGGGGCTCTGGGAAAAAAACATTGTCTTATGTCCAAATGCATGCCCCGTCTGAACCCTGCTTAAACATCAATATACCTCTATATCATCATTGCAGAACTCACACAAAGGTTTCAAATAGAACAGAATAGTTACAGTTATAAACGCAATAAATCCTAAATAATAAAAAAATCTAAATTCAGAACTCAACTCATGTTATTTGGGATTACTAAAAATATTTTTAAAAAATTACTCGGGATATATTCCCGTTTTAGTTATATTAAAAATATCCGATGTCTATTTCAGCTTAATGTAAAAGTTCAAAATTATAACAATAACTGAAAGTGTCGTCTAAATAATAAAGCTCTTCGTGTATATTGTACATATGCTAGCTATAGATGGCCAAACTGCTAGACCAACTTGGCTGGCTGATATTTTTTATGGAACCCGTGGGAACCAACAAAGACAAACAAAAGAGTTTGAAATTCCACATGCATCGCCGGGAACTTCAGCTAAAATTGTAGTTTACTTAAATAATGAAAGAAAATACATGCAAAAAAAAGATCCAAAACGGTACAAAACAAATAGAAAACAGTACAAAAAACGATGAAAAACGGTACAAAAAACGATCCAAAACGGAAGAAAAAACGATCCAAAACGGTAAAAAGACGATCCATAACAGTAATAAAACGATACAAAACGGTACAAAAACTAACAAAACGGTAAAAAAGCGATACAAAACGGTACAAAAACGATACAAAACGGTACAAAAAACTATACAAAACGGTACAAAAAACTATACAAAACGGTAAAAAAACGATACAAAACGGTACAAAAAAAACTATACAAAACGGTAAAAAAAAACGATACAAAACGGTACAAAAAAAACTATACAAAACGGTACAAACAACGATGCAAAACCTAACATGTTATAAGGAAATGAAATCTGTAAGATACCCTGATGTGGTTCCCCCAGAGACCAGACCGCGCGCCGCCGGGTGTGGGAAGCACCATCCCACACCCGTTATAACGATCAATTTCTTGCTTTTAAAAAATTTTCATAAAAGAAAATTTTAAAAGTTAAACAGATTTTTTTTATAATTTTGAAAGTTTTAATATTTTTTTTTCTTAAATGTGAAAAATGTACTCTAAATGTGTTTCAGATAAGATAAGAGAAAAGATCTACAAAAAAGGAGTAACATTTTTACCGATGAAATGAGTCCAGATGTTACCGGTCTCAGTATGAATACGGAATACGGACTTGAAGCACTCACGGAATGAATTCAGCTCTGGCCTAAATATAAATAGTAGAATAGATGTTATAGGACAACACTATCCTTTGACAAAAAAGTCAAATAGGTTGAAAAAACTGCCTCTTGATGTTCAGTATTTCATTTTTATACCTTAGAACTTAAAAATCATTTTCCTCCTTCCCCTCCCATAGCCAATATTTTCAGAATTAATTTTCACATTTTAAGAGAATAAAGCTGATTTAGTTTCCTGTATTTTAAACAATCAATTTCCTGCATGTCTAGTTACATCTACATTGCAAGAACAAAATAAAATTAAAATTTTGATTTCTCAAATCCGTAATGTTGTTTAACTACTAAAGAACGATATGTTTTTGTTTTCTATTTTGTTTCTTTTCAAAAAATCTTGTTTTGTGACGTAAATGCGTAAATACTTGAAAATTGACATTGATATGAATTCAAGTAATGTTTTCAAAACCAGGAAAAGACGGGACATGAGCTGAAATCTTGTAATCGTTTCAACTTTCAAAATAGGGATATGTTCGAAAATGATAACAAGAATCAGCTAAAACTATTTCTCACATCTTAAAATTAGCTTCAAGTTAACATTTCTTGTTTCAATAATAATTTTAGCCATTTCTTATAAATGTATGGTGTAGTTTTGTTCAACTTGGCTCGGATTTTGAGATATAAACGCTTAAAAAAGATAATTTAGCAGATTTGTCCCATTTCTAACACTCAGTGTTAGAAATGGGCCAAGTATTAGTTATGGAACTAATTTCCCCTGTACTGTAAAAACTTAAACACATTGTAAAAAAGTATTAATCTTATCTCTCTTATCTAAATGTGTTGAAAGGAATAAAGATGAAAGATATTCACACAGATTTTATAAATTTACAAAGATGAAAGATATTCACACAGATTTTATAAATTCACTAAATTTCACTAATATTCAATATTCTTTTAAATATTCTTTAATATACAATATCGTGGCCGTATTCACCAAAAAAGAGAGACGCAGATATCTGAAGTAAGTAAGATACTAACGCGGCAAAAGGTCATATATTAAGTACCTCCCCAAAATGTTTTTTAAACCCTAAAATCATTTAATACCTGTGACCAAAAGTTAGAAATTCATTGTCTCGCATCCAGCCCGGTAGTTTCTCAAAGGAGTGCACTTTCCAATGTTTAACTTTATCCAGCATTATTCCAGGAACCTCGGCGGCCGATTTTGCCGTCTTTTCGGCGGCCGCGACAGCTGATTTAGCCATGTCTCCTGACTTCCGGGCCGCCCCAGTCATAATCGATGCACCACCTTGAGCCGTTCTAAATATAAAGAAATTGCGGATTTTCTTTTTTGTCCTGGAACATTTGATAAAACTTGTAAATACGTTAAATCGTTGTATAAATTGAACTAGAGAAAAATATGGATGTAAAATAATCCGAAAAATTACCTATGAACTATGTCCTTGGAACCCCGAACAAACGCATTTGATTTTGCGCTTGCTGATTCTGCAAGAAAACTCATTTTGCTCGACATTTCCTAAATATTGGAAAAAATAAAAATATTGTAGTCATATTTTCCAATGGTCCCTCTATTAAAAAATAAGGACATAAAACCGATTTCCCAAGGAACCCTCTAAACCTAATTCGACTCGACAAACATACTTTTCTATCTTAAGATTAATAATTTCCGACAAGGGTTGCTATTTTAAGTGACAAATGGATTTAAAATTTTTCTGATTTACCACTTTTTTAGAAACGACATTTTTTTCTTATTTTTGCACAGATAAAGCATTAAAACTAAAAATAGCATGCAATAGGGGGGGGGGGGGGTTTTTTTAATTTCATCTCCATTCCCTTTAAACAAGCATTCAACATTTTGCGTATAAAAATACTCAAGGCTAAAAATAAGTATTTCTTAATGCGTATAGTAATCATTTTATAAAAAGATAAGCTAGACAATTACTTTATCAGCATTGAAAACAAACAAATTCTTAGCGGAGGAATTTATTTAAATTCATTTAAGATAAAATAAAACTTATTAAGTAGAAATATGAATAATATTGAACATTTATTATTTATTTTAAACATTTTCAAGAGGGGTAGACAAAATTAATCATGGGAAATTCTTTTTTTTAAATAAAGACTTTTGTAGACTTCAACAATAATTGTATAAGGGTTTCTATTCTCTTGAAAATTATTGAAATTTTTTTCTGCGATTTCTTCCTTTGCAACCGCAGAACTATGACTGGCGGGAAAATTAAATTCTCAAGGAGAAAATAACTTTTTTTTTTGGCAAATTTTGAAAAAATGTCTTAAAATTTACCTGATAAATTCTTTCTAGATCATCCACCATTTCCCCGGCACAGTCACTTAAAAAAAAAAAGGTTAAAGCAGTGCTTAGGATCCGGAATATTTTGTCTCCCTAAATCCGGATCCGTAAAAGTATGCTGATCCACGGATCCGGATAGAAGAGACAAAATATCAGTGCTTAGGATCCGGATCCGTTGGATCCGCAAAAATATGCGGATCCACGGATCCGGATCCAAGGGGTAAAATATCAACCAAAAACTGCAAAAAAAAACATTTTTACTCCAAAACCCCAAATCGGAACTTTTGAAAAAAGAGAGATTATAAAAATGTCCTCATTTCTGAATGGTTCATCAAGTTTTAGGATAAAAATAAGCGAAAAAAATAAAACCAAAAATTTGAAAAATTTTTTTGTTAAAGAAATTCAGTAAATCTTATAGAAATGACTTGGATCCGGATCCATTTTTTTCCAGTGCGGATCCAGGATCCGGATCCGGATCCGCATCAAAATTGAATGGATCCTAAGCACTGCAAAATATCAACCAAAACTTTTTTAAAACTTGCTTCCTCTGAACTGTTTAAAAAAAGAGGTTTCTCTGAATGGCTGACTATGTTTTAACATAAAAATAAGCAACAAGATAAGAACAATTATTTATAAAAAAAAAGACATTCATTTATATAGATGTTGCCTATAGCCGGCCTAACGGCTGAACCGATTGGGCTGAAATTTTTTGTGGACACTCATGGGTGGCCGGGTGGTGTTATAGGTTAAAATAAATTGAAATTAAAAAAGAAAGTTTCAAAAAAATTCTAAAACTTTTTTACACTGGCAACGCGGGGCTCTTCAGCTAGTTATTTATAAATTCCTTTAATTTAAATAATTAGTGAATCTGCTAAATAACTGCTTAAAAACCGAATCAGGATTTGGATCTGGGCCAATTTTTTTTTCAGCGCGGATCCGCATCAAAATGAAATAAATCTTAAGGAAAAATTAACACGATATTACGTTTTGTATTGAAAGAATACTTGACAGTGTATGTGCGTTCGTGGATTTTTATAAAAGCAATTTTAAAACTTTTCGACAAAAGTTTTGAGTTGAGTTTCATTTTTGAGTATTTACATTACAATTATATTTACATTTGAGTATTATCTTTTACATTTACAGTATTGTTTCTAAAACAAAAACAAAAGTAGACATTAAAATCTTAACATCTTAAATAAAAGAATATAAATTAACAATAAAAAATTCAATTACTGAAAAAACCCAATGATTTAATAAAAATAAAAAATAAATAAGATAAAAGATTAGATAACAGAGAAACAAAAATATGCAACCTGAATGATTTAACAAAATTAAAATAAATTATATGAAAGATAAAATAAATAAAATGAAATATGCATGTTAAATGTTAAAATATCCCAAAAGCTAATGATAGGCAATACAAACTATAATTACTAAATAAAACCCTGAATGATTCTATAAAAATAAAAATAAATTAAATAAAGGAATAAATAATAGAGAAAGAAAAATATGCAATAGAAACTATAATCTATACAATAAAACGAGACATTTATTATATCCATGTCTAACATATAAGATGCAAGTACAAAATTGATAGCATGGGGGGGGGGCCGGGGGGGTCCAAAAATCGTTCTCTAGGAATATAGTACATTGTACACTGTACATGTCTGTGTTCAGTTCATGTTTGTGATCGGTGATCAGTTTGTTGTTTCATGTCTATGTTCATACATGTTTTTATGTCTGTATTTACGTCTGTGTTCCTATCTGTGGTCATGTCTATGTTCATGTCTGTATTCATGTCTGTGTTTACGTCTGTTTTTACGTCTGTGTTCACTTCTATATTCACGTCTGTGTTCACGTCTGTGTTCATGTCTGTGTTCACGTCTGTGTTCATGTCTGTGTTCTCATCTGTGTTCACGTCTGTGTTCACGTCTGTATTCACGTCTGTATTCAAGTCTGTGTTCACATTTTTTCATGTCTGTGTTTACTTTTGTGTCTTTAGCCGAGTCTGTGTCTACACCAATGTGCGTGTCTGCGTTTATCTTTATGTCTGTATATCTGTCTTAGTTACATAATATTTGTCTATGTCGGTTCCTGTGTATATTTGTTTGTGTTCATGATCCAGCAAGTTACGCAGTTTAAACTCAACTGAATAAATTTCACCAAACAAGGCAGTATTATGGAAAATAATAAATTATTTATATTAAAGGGATTGAACACGTAATTTTAAGTACCCCTCAATCTAAAGAAGGAAGATATGATTCACAACGGTACATATAAATCCATTAACTAATCAATAATATGTAAGGTATCGTTATTTGTGTATCGTTTACCGTTTAATCCCGTTGCTCCTCAAGAGAAATGCGCAAATCACATCAAAGACAAATCACAATTAAAAGTTATTAATTATTAAAGAGAAGATGATGGATATCGCTAAATCAGATAATGTTATCAAGGGTACGGTTGTAAATCGGACATACCACTTTAAAAACGGCGACTTTCTTGAAATTACATTTACACTCTACAGTCCTATTAAGTTAAACATAGAAAGTAACTCAGTAATTCTCAACTAAGCGGGGAAACTGCGACAACCAGTGATCCCATAAATGATAAGATTATTGTAAAGGATAACAGGGTGGCAAACAAAAAATGTAAACATTTCATCAGTGTGTCCTAAAATAAAAGTTTAAAGAGAACTTTCCCACTCCCCCCTCCTTTGAAAAAGGAAAGGGAAAAAAACCTTTCAAGGTTTTTTTTGACACCCTGCACTAATTATAATAAATAATTTTGACAATCCAACAGTGTTTCTTTAAATTATAACGATAGAACAAAACTTTAGCAATGGAAAAAATGTAAAGAACATTTTTACCCCCCCCATGAAAAAATAGTGAAACAAGAAAAAAACCTTTCGTGGTTTTATTTGACACCCTGCACTGATTAAAATAAATTTTTAGACAATCCAACAGTGTGTCTTTATATATTGACAATAGAAAAAATTGGAAAAAACATTTTACTCCTCCCCCCCCCCTTTAAAAAAATGGTGGAACGGGTAAAAAACCTTACATGGTTTTTCTTTTGACACCCTGCACTAAGGCAGTAAGCCCTGCAGTGAACCGTTTATTTTAACATTAAAAAATGCAAGAAATAAAACAACCGTGGTTTAACGCCAGACCGTGGTCTGATCAGTTTACTGGAAATTTCCGGAAAAAAACTTGATTCAAATATTTTAATTAACTAAATAATCGGTTAACGCGGGGAGGGGGGGGGGGAGTTTTATAAAATGCTAATTTAGATTTTTTACTAAAAACCGACTTTAGAATATTTAATGTCAGCTAAATTCTATTATAATAAGAAAGCTGAACACAGGGGTGTATATTTTCTCAAAACATCGGTTTTCTTCAGTTTTTTCTTCAAAGTACAATTATACAAATTGAAATCACTAAAAACTAAAAGTTGATAAGTGGAGTAAGGAAATTTGGCTGTATGAAAACAAATTTAGTTTCCGTCATAATTTTCGCCAATATATTACTTAAGAGGTTAAAAGTCTTCATTTTAGATCATCTTTAAGATTCATTGTTTCCTTGTAGAAGCCCAAAAATGGAGGACACAAAACATTTCAGTAAACCTTAAAACTGCAAAAAAGCGAGTGCATTGTTTTGGATGCTTTAAGAGGATAGATTTTAAGCGCTGGTTTTGTATCAACATTATTGTAAATAGGTTAAATTAGCTCTAAGTCGCTTTATACTTGGAGAACCAGAAAGCTCTGGAATAGAAAGACGACATTACAGCAATCCTGTGCATTTGATGATGTTACAAAACAAAAAATTTGACTAGACACTTGTCAAATCACATATTAAGTTAAATGTGTCTGTGAACACTTCACAATTACTGTGTCTCATGTTCATTAATGGTTAGAAAAAACCCTGGTTTTTTCCCCATAAACCCAGCCCAGTGGGTTTTATTGGTTTGTTTTTGGTTCTCTTTGGGTTTTATTGTGTTTTAATGGGTTTTTGGATTTTTTTTTGGGCTTTTCAATTTTAAAGTAGTTGAAATCTACTACAAATCAAACTAATTCATAATAATAAGACTATTTAAGCAATAGGTGAACTTTAAAGTTATGAAAAATAATAATACTGATTTAATAATAGACTATAATCATAATAAATACTCTTCAAATACAATTATATCACCTCCCTTCTATAAATAAATAAATAAATAAATAAATAAATAAATACTACATTTTTTATATCATAGTTCTATGAATTTCAATGAATTTCACACTACTTAAATTTTCTCACTTGGATACATATTTATTTATTTATTTCGTAAACGTGCACAATTTAAATAATTGGTACAATTGAACAGAAGAAAAAAAAACAAATATGCTCAAGAAGGAAGACCACTGTTAAATACCGAAAAACTTCAGATCACTCACACAAAAGAATGATGAAGAGATTTTATATCCTTATTCTATCGCAACATATTTTGAAAACTCATGTGAAAAGAATAAATGTGATAGTTTTACTGCTTTTAACTCCCTAAAATCAATACAGTTGATATTAAACCTTATTTTTTGAAGAGTTTATCATTAAAAAATGCTACAATTAGACAAATTCTGAAAGACCAATAAAATCCAAAAAAGCCCACTTACAGGCGAGGTGGGTTTTTTAAAGTGGGTTTTATTGGTTTTTTTTTTTGGGCTGGGGTTTTTTCATGCCAACTCTGTGTTCAAACGATTATTTAAAGTCACAAGTTCAGTTTTCTAGTTCCCAGTATACACAAATAAATATAAAAATAATGATGAACTAACCTGACATAGTTTGACCACTAGGCTTCTGATTAAATGAATCCGCTAAACCTAAACATGCAAAAGGACTTTACAGTGTACACCTATTTGAAATAAGACAAAATACTCAAATTTTTTAAATTAGTAATTCTACCCTTGAGAACTTGAATTAAAGTATTTTAACCAAGGGCCGGATATGATTTGAACCAGGTCTAGAAACGGTTCAACAACATATCTTGAATTTGTCTATGTCCATTATTGTCCTTTAGATGTAAACAACTACACTGCAGCTCTGCGGATAAGTATTTGCATCGACGGTTTAGTTCAGAAAACTAGCTCAAATTCATTCAATTCGGTCCCAAATTGATTATATTTTTACAAATAGAAACTATAATATTTAGATTTTAGTGCTCAGCTAGCATCCATGACGCCAGGTTCTAAATGCCCCATTTTGGAATTGTCATAGAAAGGCCACTTTAAATTGCGTTAACAAAAAAAAAAGTTTTAAAACATATCAGAAGCATTTTAAAATTGTAATCCCCAACCTGACCTTGTGATAAATGTTTATAGTTTGATTAAAAAAGTTATTTAGCGTTCTTGTTTATGGTTAAACCAAGGTGTAAAGCAATCCCAACCAAACTAGACGGAAAATTATAGACTGTAAGTTCAGAGCTGAAAACCTTCTTTCTCATTCTCTCCATGCCAGTTTCCGACCAATGAGAGCTCACTCATTAAATGACGCGAGAAAAAAAAATCAAATTTACCAGCTGTTCTGGTTTGTCCAAACCCCACTCATTTGGTTGAGTTATCTGTTATATAATCTTAATTAAAAAGAGAAGATCAAGATATAATTTCGATGTCCACAATTCTTAAGTTTTCATCTGAGGATATATATTTCGATAAATATATTATCATAAGCTGTCCAAAGACGTGTATAGTTGAAAATGTTTAGATTTATAAGTTCGGGACTTTGCTCAGCGCAAGATAACCCTATCTCTGCTGGGGTACTTGAAAACCAGGATATGCTGGGGGGGGGGGGTCAATTTGATCCCCCCCCCCTCTAAATTCCATGTTTGATGTCTAAATATGACAAATGATACATGATCATTGGAAAGCTCTTGTGCACTACTTTTAGAATCTGCAAATTTTTTTTTGCAAATTTGCAAAAATTGAATTTTTTTATCGCAAAATCCAGTTTTATAGTAAAAATGTTTGCAAAAAAAAATTTGTCTAAAAAATAAAAAATTATACATTTTTGAAAAGCCCTTGACTATGCCATTTCAAATATGCAAAAATTTTTGCAAAATTTTAAATAACCTGATTTTTAATCAAGAAAAACTAAAAATGTGCAAATTTCCTTTGACAGGTTGTTTGCAAAATATTTGAAATTTTTTTCCGCAAAACTTGTGCAATTCGTTTCCTTATGTCAAAGACTTTCCAAAAAGCTAAATTTTATCAAACCTGACAAGTGGAAGTGGGTCAAAACAAAGATTTAGTTTGTTACATGAAAAAGCAGGCATTCAGGCAGTGTGCCTGAGGACTCAGGCAGTTAGTATTAAAGCCCGGTTTTAGGCCTAAAGGGAGGGCTTTGGGTATGTAGGAAAAGTCAGAAAATTTCAACAGCCTCAGACCAATACTTTTAAATATTAGCTTTGGAACCCGCCGTTTCCCAGGTCACAAATAATAGTTACTTCCGCCGTCTACCCGCACTTGGTCGTAAATTACGATTTTAGCTATAGTTTCTGTCGACAAACTCAACTTAGAATCTCAAAACTTAACAGAAAATATTCGTATTGCTCTTCCAAGTTCCCCAATCAAAATTTGGGGCAAATAGGTCCAGGGGTCCCTGAGTTATAATCGGACAAACAAACAAACAGAGATTACAACTTTATATATAAAGACTCACCAGGCGCTCTTAAATCCTTGTCTCCAGCTGAAAATGAGTTTCTAGTTTGTCCGTTTCTTCTCTTACGAATCTATTCATTTACAATCATTAAACTCTTAAAAAAATTGGAAGCTTGTCGACTGTCGACATAATTTCAAACAGTGCTTAGGATCCAGATTTTGCCTTCTTGGGTCAGGATCCGCAAAAATATGGGGGTCCATGGATCGGCCGGATCCAAGGGACAAAATATAAACCAAAAAATGCAAAACAAGACTTTTTCAATCTAAACTGTTGAAATAGTATATTATTAAATTTTCCTGTATCTGAATGGTTCATCAAATTTGAGCATAAAAATAAGCGGAAAAAAAGAAGAATAATTAATTGGACAGTTCTGCTTTGTTAAAAAAAAAACGAAATCTCAAAGAAATGTTTAAGACTCGGACAACCCCTTCATTTTTCACCATTTCAACACAATGTTAGACATAAAAAGCAATTTTAAGACATTCCTCTTCTTGCAAACGCTTTTTAGATACTGACAATATGCAGTTTGTTTCTTTTCCCACTGAATTGATTGCGAAGTCAAGTTTAGCTAAAGAATTCGTATATTTATAAATGTATTTTTTAATTGAATTTAATTAGGAATTATGTCTCGAGTAAAAATTAATTTTTAGATGATATGAAAGGAAGACCCCTTTCATCTTCTGAAAAATTATTGAGATATTCTGGTTTTCGATTAAAGAATTTTTAACTGTAGTTTCTCTACCGGAGTAAAACGTGGACATATACAGCAGAGCAAGGAAACCAATCAGACTTGGATCAATAGAGCTCAATTCGAATAATGTAACAAAAATAAAAGATTAGCGCGTGTCCCCGTTTTAGGGTATATTTTCTCATACAATCATTCCCTCCAAAAAATTTGGCCACAAGTAGGTTTATTCCTAAAGAACAATTTTTGGACCCCCCCCCCCCCC